GTCTCTCTTTGTCTGTCTCTTTTTGTTTCTCCGTCTCTGTCTGTCTGCTTTATTGCTGTCTCTCTCTGTCTCTTCTATTATGCTGCTGCTGCATGCTGCTGCTCTGTCTGTCTCCTGTGCTGCTCTCTTGAGCAGAGTTCTGCTGTCTCCTCACTGCAACAAAAGCTTACTCGCTGCTGCTGCCAGCAAACAACAAAAACATAGTCCATGCACACTGCTGCTGCTGCTGCTGCAGCAGCAGCAAGAGCAGCAAAAGTAGCGGGAAAGGCACACGCACTGAGACCAAAGGCGCCGCCAGCACAGCAGCAACATAAGCTGAAGCAGCAGCTGTTGTTGTTGTTGTTGCTGCTGCTGTAGCTGCTGCAGCCCTGCTAAGCTGCCGGTGCAGTTGCTGCTGCCGTTGTTGCAGCAGCAGCCGCAGCATTCGCTGCCGCTGTTGTTGCTGCTGCTGCTGCAGTAGGCACCATAGGATCTTACCCTCGACCGCACACACCACCTTCATCCGCTGCAGCAGCAGCAACAGCAGCAGCAACAACAACAGCAACAGCAACAGCAGCAGCAGTATTTTATTCATCAAAGAGACTACCTGAAGCCCCTCCCTTCGGCTGCGGCTCTGCAAATATGCTGCTGGGGGCCCCCCCTTTAATAAGGAAGGACATCAACGCCTGATGCTTTTGCTGCAGGGCCTCCTTCTTCTTTCGTTGTTCTTCTTCGCGTCTCTTTCTCTCTTCTTCTTGCTGCTGCTGCAGCAGCAGCAGCCGACGCTGCTCCTGCTCACGCTGCTGCTGCTCGCGCTCGCGCTGCTGCTGCAGCAGCAACTGCTGCTGCAATTCCTGCTGCCGACGCTCCTCCGCAAGCCGCTGCTGCTGCTGCTGTAACAGCTGCTGCTGCTGCAGCATGTCTGCATGCGATCCATTTGCAGCAGGAGTCCCCGGAGGAGACACAATATGACCCCTCCTGAGGCCTCTTCTTGCTGCCTCGGTGCTGCTGCCTGCTGCTGCTGCTGCTGCTGCTGCTGCTGCGCTTGCAGCTGCTGCTGTCTCAATGCCGCTGCACCCTGATTGTAAAGCGCTTAAAAGCTGCTTGATCATCTGCTGCCCTGCTGTCTGCTGCTGCAGCAGCTGCTGCAGCATCACCTGTTGCTGCTGCTGCTGCTGCTGCATCTCCCTCAAATCAGCAGCAAGCCGCTGCACCGCAGCAGCCACCGTCTCTCCCCCGCATGCACAGACCGTCAGCGGCTGCCGCTGCTGCTGCTGCTGCTGCTGCTGCAGGCGCAAGCGGCGCATCTGTTCAGCTGCTGCTGCTGCCTGCTGTTGCTGCTGCTGCAGGTCCTTGTCCTCCCGCTGCAGCTGCGAAGGTGCTGCAGCAGGGAAACCATTCTCTGTTGGGTTTGCATCTGGTGCTGCTGCTGTTGCTGCTGCTGTTGTTGGGTCGGGTGCATCGCGCCAGTCCCCAAAATGCCCTTCTGCTGCTGTTCCTGCTGCAGCTCCTGCTGCTGCTGCTGCTGCTGCTGCGCCAGCGCTTAGAGAATCCACCCCGTGGAAGGCTTCTGCTGCATCTTTGCTGCTGCAGTGTCTGACGAGAGGATCAGAGACAGCTTCTTCTGCAAGCAGCGGCCCCTCATCCTGCTGCAGTCCAGCAGCAACGCCTCCAGCAGCAGCAACTGCTGCTGCAGCAGCTGCTGCTGTTGCTGCTGTAGCAGCAGAAGAAGGAGCAGCAGCACGGGGCGGCGTTCCTGCTGCTGCTTCAGGTGCAGACACCAAACAGGAATGATCAAAAGAGGCTGGAAAAGAAGGTGAAGCTGCAGCAGTTGCTGCTGTAGCGGGAAGAGCAGCAGCAGCAGCAGCTGCTGCTGCTGCAGCGTCAGCAGCAGCAGCAGTTGCTGCAGGAGTTTGTGTCTTCGGCTGCTCTGCTGACACCAGCCTCGGAGACTCCCACTTCTCCTCGTCTTCCCACAAGGGTGAGGGCATCTTCTTCAGGTTGTTGTTGGGGTGTACGTACAGCTGAGGTGTACGTACAGCTGAGGTGTATGTACAGCTGAGGTGTATGTACAGCTGAGGTGTATGTACAGCTGGCGCTGTAGAGACCCTAAAGCCCCCCCAGGAGGCGCAGCCGGCTCAACGTGCTGCTGCTGGTGGATCAATGGTCCTCAACACGTTCACTGACACCACCAGAGACGCTGCAGCTAGCGCTGCTGCTGCTGTTGCTGCTGTTGCAGCTGCTGCTGCTGCTGCTGCTGCTGCTGTGCTACTGTTGCGGGATTGCTATTGCTGCTGCTGCTGCTGCGCGCTTGCTGCTGCATTGCCGTTCCGCTTCCTGCTGCTGCTGCTGCTGCGGAGCAAACAAGAAGGAGACGCATGTGGCGTTGAGCAGCAGCAAAGAAGCTGAGGGTACACCTCAGCTCGTTGTTAGAGAGAGACAGGGCTGAAGGTGTTCAGCAGCAAAAAATGCAGCAGCAATTGCTGCTGCTGCTCTCTGCTGCTGCTGCTGCTCTCTGTTCCTGCAGCAGAGCGCGTAGTGCGTAGAAACATGAGAGGAACACAGCGCAGCAACTGCAGCAGCAGCAGTAGCAACAGCAGCAGCAGCTGCTGCTGCTGCTTAATAGGAATTCGTTTTGCTGCAGTTGGAGACAGCTCTGCGTTCCTCATGATAGAACAGTGGCTATCCATCAGCAGAGACAGACACAGAGATAAAGAGACAGAGACAGAAAGAAGTAAAGAGACAGAGACAGAGAGAAAGAGACAAAGAGACAGAGACAGAAATAAAGAGACAGAGATAAGGAGACAGGTATTTTAAAGAAAGAAAAGGAGACAGACTCAGAAATAAAGAAAGAGAGACAAAGAGAAAGAGACAAAGAGAGAGGGGGACGGAGACGATGAAACAGATATAAAAAGAGAAAGAGACAGACACAATAAATAAAGAGACAGAGACAGAGAGAGCAAAGAGAGAAGAAGAGAGACAGATATATAAAAGGAGACAGACAGAGACAGAAATAAAGAGACAGAGACAGAGAAAGATGAGAAATAAGAAGAGACAGATATATAAAGAAAAAGAGACAGAGGAGACAGACAGAGACAGAGACAGAGACAAAGAGACAGAGACAGAGACAAAGAGACAGAGACAAACAAAGAGACAGAGGCAGCAAAGAGAGAGAGAAAAACAAAGAGAGAGACACTAAGACGCAGGGCAACAAGAGAAGATTAAAAAGAAGCACATAGAAGCAGAAAGGCTAGAGGAGACAGATAGAAGAGACAGAAACAAAGAGACAGATAAAAGGAGACAGACAAACAAAAGACAAGAAGGAGCAGAGAGAGACAGCTGTATCAATCAATCTCTTGCAATTCATACACCAGGCGAGAGGAGACGCCTAAACCCTCAGCAGCTAAACCCTAAACCCTAAACCACAAAACCCTAAACCCTAATCCTCAGGTTTCCGCTCTACCCACCACCTCACAAGCTAACAGAAGGGCTACTGCTGCTGCCTTTAGTTATTTACTGTCTCCTCTATTTAACTACTCTCTCCTGACAAAGAAGACAAACTAACAAAAGAAAGTTCTCGCGAAGCCAGCGAGCTGAGAAAGAGCTAAGTGACGCATGCTGCTGCTGCTGCTGCTGCTGCTGCTTCTGCACGGTGGCGCAGTAGCAGCAGAACGCTGTAGCAATAATAGTAACTGCAGTAGCAGAGCAGCAACAGCAGCACTGGCGCTGCTGCAGCAGCAAGGAGACAGTTAGTTGTCTCACACTGCGGCAGCTACGGGCTAAGGGATTGTCTGTCTCTACAGGGACCTCTGCCTCGGTGTCTTGAGGCTCTGCATGCACCCCGAAAGTATGCATGCATTTGGCGCATGCACATGATGCATGCAGCCCCAAAGTATGCATGCATTTGACGCATGCACACGGTGCATGCAGCCCTAATGTTTGCATGCAGCTGGCGCATGCATATGGTGCATGCAGCCCCAAACTTTGCATGCAACTGGCGCATGCATATGGTGCATGCAGCCCCACAGTTTGCATGCGTATGGTGCATGCACACGGTGCATGCAGCCCCAAAGTTCGCCTTTCCTAAGCAAAGGGATTACTTAAGATTATTTTAAAAAGGACATAATGAAAAAGAGCAGCAAAAAAGGCTCTGCACGCCTCAAAACAACTGCAAAAGATTAAAAGATTTAAACTAAAACAAAACAAAGAAAAGAAGCAAATAACTATACGCTACGCCACATGCATGCATGCATGCATGCATGCATGCATGCAGCCCCATTCAGTTGCCTGCATTACGTTTCCTTTTTAAGGTGCTTTGGCTTTCTGTTTTCTTTGTTGTCTTCTCTTTGTTTGGTGCTGCTGCATCTTTCTTTGTCTCAACTTTTCTTCTTTTTCTTTCGTCTGCGTCATTTGCTGCTGCCTTCTTGTCTTCACTCTCTTCTCGCTTGTTGTCTTGCTGCTGTCTTCTGCTGCGTTTGCTGCGGCTCTCGCCCTGCTGCTGCTGCTGCTGTCCGTTCAGCTGCTGCTGCTGCTGCTCATCGTCTCCTTTTTCCTTTGTCTTTCTGTCTCTGGAAGCCTTTGCTGTCTCTGTTGCTTTCTTCTGCTGCTGCTTCTTCTGCTGCTCCGCTGTCTCCTTTTGCTGCTGCTTGCTGTCTCTCTCCTCTTCGTTAACCCTCTGTCTCCTTCCCTCAACCTTCTTTTCTTTACCCCCACCTCCTGCGGCGCTGCTCGCTGCCTTGCCTTTCGGTGCAGCAGCAGCAGCAGCAGCAGCAGCAGCAGATTGCTTCTTGGTCTTGCTGCTACTGCCGCCGCCCTTTGCGAGTGCTTGAGGTTCTTCCTGAAGCTCTTTTATATTTCTGCTGCTGCTGCTTTCTGCTGCAGTCTCCCCCCTCTTCTGTCTCTTTACTGTTGCTGGCGAGTTGCTGCGGCTTGCGCTCACGCTGCTGCTGCTGCTGCGGGGCTTGCCTGTCTTTTTTGCTGCTGCTGCTGTTGCTTTCTTCCTAGTAGCATCGCGTGTGCTGCTGCTGCGGCCCCTCCTGCTGCTGCGCCCGTCCGTCTTGCTGCTGCTGCTGCGGCTTCTGCTGCTCTTGCGGCTTGTGCTGCGGATGCTGCTACTCCTTGCTGCAGGACTGCCGCTAGCACTGCGTCTGCTGCTGCTTCTGCTGCTGGCTTTGCTGCTGCCTCTATGACTTCCCTCCTTGACGCTGGGGAGCGGGCTCTCAGCAGGGGGGTTGCTGGGGCTGTTGCTGCGGCTGCGTTTGCTGCTGTTGCTGCGCTTGCTGCTGCTGCTGCGGCTGCGTCTGCTGCTCTTGCTGTTGCTGCTGCTGCTGCGCACGCTGCTTGCTTCTCCTTCAGGCTGGGGGCTTCCGCTCGCCATCCGCTTGTCTTTTGATATGCTTCTGCTTCTTGATTGAGAGCCGCCTGCCTTGGGGCTGCTGCTGCGTTTGCTGCTGCTGCGGCTCCTGCTGCTGCCAGCCTTGCTGCCGCTAGGGCTTCTGCTTCTGTTGCTGCCGCTAGGGCTCTTGCTTCTGTTGCTTCCGCTAGGGCTTCTGCTTCTGTTATTGCTACCGCTAGGGCTTCTGCTGCCAGCCTTGCTGCCGCTAGGGCTTCTGCTGCTGCTCTTGTTGCTGCCGCTGGGGCTCCTGCTTCTGTTATTGCTGCCGCTAGGGCTTCTGCTTCTGTTGCTGCTGCCGCTAGGGCTCTTGCTTTTGTTGCTGCCGCTAGGGCTTCTGCTTCTGTTGTTGCTTCCGCTAGGGCTCCTGCTGCCAGCCTTGCTGCCGCTAGGGCTTCTGCTGCTGTGTTTGCTGCCGCTAGGGCTCCTGCTGCTGCGTTTGCTGCCGCTGGGGCTTCTGCTGCCAGCCTTGCTGCCGCTAGGGCTCCTGCTTCTGCTGCTGTGTCTGCTGCCGCTAGGGCTCTTGCTGCCAGCCTTGCTGCCGCTAGGGCTTCTGCTCCTGCTGCTGTGTCTGCTGCCGCTAGGGCTCTTGCTGCTGTGTTTGCTGCCGCTGGGGCTTCTGCTTCTGTTGCTGCCGCTAGGGCTTCTGCTGCTGCTCTTGTTGCTGCCGCTAGGGCTTCTGCTTCTGTTGTTGCTGCCGCTTGGGCTTCTGCTGCCAGCCTTGCTGCCGTTAGGGCTCTTGCTTCTGCTTCTGTTGCTGCCGCTGGGGCTCCTGCTGCTGCGTCTGCTGCCGCTGGGGCTCTTGCTTCTGCTTTTGTTGCTGCCGCTAGGGCTTCTGCTTCTGTTGCTGCCGCTAGGGCTCTTGCTTCTGCTTTTGTTGCTGCCGCTGGGGCTCCTGCTGCTGCTCTTGTTGCTGCCGCTGGGGCTTCTGCTGCGTTTGCTGCCGCTAGGGCTTCTGCTGCTGCTCTTGTTGCTGCCGCTAGGGCTTCTGCTTCTGTTGTTGCTGCCGCTAGGGCTTCTGCTGCCAGCCTTGCTGCCGCTGGGGCTCTTGCTTCTGCTTCTGCTGCTGCGTTTGCTGCCGCTAGGGCTTCTGCTTCTGTTGCTGCCGCTAGGGCTTCTGCTGCCAGCCTTGCTGCCGCTAGGGCTCTTGCTTCTGCTTCTGTTGCTGCCGCTAGGGCTCCTGCTGCTTCTGTTGCTGCCGCTGGGGCTCTTGCTTCTGCTTTTGTTGCTGCCGCTGCGGCTCCTGCTGCTGCGTTTGCTGCCGCTGGGGCTCCTGCTGCCAGCCTTGCTGCCACTAGGGCTTCTGCTCCTGCTGCTGCTCTTGTTGCTGCCGCTAGGGCTTCTGCTTCTGTTGTTGCTGCCGCTAGGGCTTCTGCTGCCAGCCTTGCTGCCGCTGGGGCTCCTGCTGCCAGCCTTGCTGCCGCTGGGGCTCCTGCTGCCTCTGTTGCTGCCGCTGGGGCTCCTGCTGCTGTGCTTGCTGCCGCTAGGGCTCCTGCTGCTGTGTCTGCTGCCGCTAGGGCTTTTGCTTCCAGCCTTGCTGCCGCTAGGGCTCCTGCTTCTGCTGCTTCTTTTGCTGCCGCTAGGGCTTCTGCTGCTGTGTTTGCTGCCGCTAGGGCTCTTGCTGCCGCTGGGGCTTCTGCTTCTGCTTCCAGCTGCACTTCGTTTGCTGTTGCTGCTTCTGTTGCTGCCACTGCGGCTGCGGCTGCGGCCTCTGCTGCAGTTAGCGCTGCGTTTGCTGCTGCTGCTTCTGTTGCTTCTGTTGCTTCCGCTGGGGCTCCTGCTTGCTGCTGCTGCAGCACCGCCTTCTGTACCCTCGCTGCTGCTCCTGCGGCTTGCTGCTGCAGGGCTGCCACTGCGCTGCCTGCTGCTGCTGCTTCTGTTGCTGCGGGGGGACCCGCTTCTGCTGCGGCTACGGTTGCTAGCAGCAGCACTTGGAGCTTTGCTGCTAGCCCTGCTGTCTCCTTGTTTATTGCTGCTGCTGCTCCTGCTGCGGCTGCCGTCGCTTGCTGCATCAGCCCTCTTGCTGCTGTACGCAGCAACAGAGCTGTTGCTGCGGCTCCTGTTGCTGCTACGTGCTGAGCGATGGCTGCTGCTGCCCCTGCTGTGTACGGGGGGGGAGTTGCTGCGGCTGCGTCTCTCAGGAGACACTTTGGTGCTGCTGCGTTTGCTGCTGCTGCTGCGTCTGCTGCTGCTGCTGCGCCGCATCTCTCTCTTGGGGCTTGCGCTTGCAGCTCTGCTGCTACCGCGAGGAGACCCGCTCCTGCTGACGCCCCTAGAGGAGGGTTCTGCTGCTGCTGCTGCTGCTGCTGGCTCAGGGCTGTAGCTGCGAAGGCGGCTGCTGCTTCTTCCCTTGAAGGAGACAGCAGGGCTGGCGCTGCGGCGGGCGGCCCTAGGGCTGCTCCTATCTACAGACATACTCCTGTTGGGGCTGCCTCCTCTGCTGTCTCCTCTGCTGTCTCTTCTGCTGTCTCCACGACCCCGCCTGCGGCTGCCGCTGCGGTGTCTGCGGCTGCGGTGTCTCCGACTGTGGCTGCAGAGGAGACAGACAAATGCAGAAAGGAGACAGTGAAAGAGACAGTAAAGAAGAAGAGACAGAAGGCAGATATACAGTAGAGACAGACACAAAAGAAGAGACAGAAAGGAGGCAGGCGTAGAGACAAGAGAGACAGGAGGCGAAAAGGAGACAAACAAAAGACAAAGAGAAGCGAAGCAGAGAAGAAGACACAAAAAAGAAAGAGAGTATAAAGAGACAGTACAGAAAGACAAAAAAGAGACAGTGCGAGAGGAGACATATAGTAGAGACAGAGAGAGACAGAGAGAGACAGAGAGAGACAAGCAGCGCACACAAGACAAGAGACAAAGAAGAGACAGAAAAGATATAGGCAAGAAATAAAGAAGAGACAGAGAGGGTACAGTGGGAAGACAGATATATATATATATATATATACAAATATATGAGACAGAGAAGAGACATACAGTGCACAAGGAGACAGGAAGGAGACAGATAATGTACAAGAAGAAGACAGAAAGAAAGAGAGGAGATAGAGACAAATAATAAACAAAGAGAAGACAGACAAAAAGACAGAGACAAAAGCCTGTCTATTATATCAATTAATAAATCTATCGCATATATCTGTCTGCTTTTTTTGTCCCAATCGCATGCATGCATGCATGCATGCATGCATGCATGCATGCATACCTGCGTCTTCTTCTTTTATGCTTTCTTTCTTTTCTTTTCTCTGGCTTTGCCTCTGCCTTTCCTTCTGCTACTAACAGTCGGTGCGCCATGTCGCAGACATCGATATAATAAACTCTTTGCGAATCCCCCAATATGAAGCAACTCTGCATATTCATCATTTAGCAGCACATCAGTGCAGCAGCAGCAGCAGCAAATCAATTAACCAGCAGCAGCAGCAAATCAATTAACCAGCAGCAGCAGCAAATCAATGCTGCAGCACCAGCAGCAGCAGCAAATCAATGCTGCAGCAGCAACAATAAATCAATGCTGCAGCACCAGCAGCAAATAAGTGCAGCAGCAGCATGCATGCAGGTATATATTTGGGGTGTATAGGGACCTACCCGCTGGTCTGTGAGGGCTAAGCGTTCATCTCCTGCTGCTAAGAGGGTCCCTTCTCCTTCTTGTGGGGCCCAATCAACCCATTGATGTTTATTCTTAGAAATAAAAGAGGAGACACTTCGTTTGCTTTTCTTTTCTGCAAGAGTCTCCTTAATAGTTTGAGGTAAGAAAGGCACATTCTTATTCAAGAGGAGACGGGTCTTACCCCCTAATGGCTGCACAAAGAAGCAGCCGCCTTGCTGATGCAGCTGACGTGTAGAGAAATATACAGCACATTGCTGCCCTGCAACACTGTTCTGCAGCAGCAAACAA